TTTGTTATTGGTACATTTTTTATTTTTAATTATTTACTGCTTTTGCATTTAAATTGTGTTGGTGAGAGTGAATGGAGAATAAGTCCATGTGGGACAAAAGTTTACACCTCAGATTTTTATTCCTTGTAATAAAAGGTTGGTCGAACACGGAAACACCAATGGTCGGTTGCTTATTCCAGTGTATCGTTTTGCATTTAAATTATATTTACCGTAATTAGAAAGTTGAAAAAAAATTAATTTAAGTTTTAACTATTATATTTATTAGATAGATAATCTTGTTATCCCCCTTATATATTAATTCAAAACGTGTTAAGTCTAAGTGGCAGACTCGCATGCTTCGGGATTCTATGTGGCAAAATTACATACTTCGTTGCTAGGTTTGGGTAGATAATTTACTTCCAATCTAAAAATAATTATGTTCGGATTATCCATAAATATGTTGATAATTTAATATTATTTCTTATTATAACCATTGAATTATAAATGTATTTTAAAAGTTAATAACTTTTGTATATTTTTATCAGTTTTACATATATAATATATCAAATTAATCATCGTTTGATGAGCTAATAAAATTATTTTTTCAATATTAATTAAAAAAATAAAATTATTTATCAATTAATATATTTAAATTTGAAGGAGTTCTATGATATAAGTTATAAAAATTATTATAATATAATACATATTTTGTAAAAAATGTAAATAAAATTTAGAATAATTTTTTAATTAATTTTAAACTTAAGAATAATTTTTTAACAAGTATTCGTGTAATACACGGGTATTGTACTATTACTATAATAATAAATTTTTTTGAAAAAACAAAACATCTAAATAGAAATAGCTTACCATCCAAGGAATTGTACCACCCAACGGAAGGGCCAAGACGAAACTACTGGTGACGTAATACATTCCACGTCACTCTTAATAAATAAAAAGAGAAAAAGTGCACCTTTTGCAATGCATTTTCCATGTGAAACAAGCGATCCACTTTGTAAAGGAGCAAAACGCATGTCTTTATAATTAGACTAGTACGTAGTCCGTGCGATGTACGGAACATACGTATTAATAAGTTACTTTCACAGAACTTGTTCGTTAAGTAGCTCGCGCGATTCACGGGAGATATTAAATGAGTGGACCATAGGGCTTGTCCGTTCAAGCCTAAAAAAATAGAGTTTGATCATCTATCTTTTTACATCTTTTCATCAACGTCATTTTTTTTGTCGAAACATTAAACCTGAGTCTGGTAGCGCTAGCCCGTAAATTAATTAATATATTATCTCGCTTACATGTTCATAATAATATAAATTTGATTTCATTATATATATTTATTCATTGATATAAGAAAAATAACAATTTTACGTAATCTTGTTCCTCGTATAATACTTATATTATTTCATTATAAAATTTATTGTAGTAAAATGTCATTATTATTATAAGTTATAGATGTAATCTTCTTCTTCTTTTTGTTTTATGTAATTAAAATATTTAATGTATGTTCATATTATTTATTAATGTAATTAATTTAAATTATGTAAATAAATTTAAAGTAAAACATTTTGTACAAACATTTTACAAAATATATACAAATGTTTTTTTAGAATTTAATTCTTTTACAATAAATAACAGCTTTGAAATTCTATGCAATTATTAAAATCGATTAAATCTGCTTAAA